TTGACTCCAAACTCAGTTCAGGTAAGCGGCACGTTTTTGTTATCTAGCACGTTCAAAACGGGTTTCGCATTGTTTCTTTTAACTCACAGTTGTTGTCCTTCTTCAAAGAAGTCTGCTGACGAAGAATTTATGCCGGTAGCCCGGCTCGATCGGCCACTATAGAGTTGCTTGGCACTTGCCTTCTTCGTGGGAGGAGGTCAAAGCCCAATTCAGCTTCTTCCGAAGCTGGATTACGCCAACCTCACACTCCCTCTAGGGCGCTGCTGCCTGCTTGTCCCCCCCCCTCGCTGGGGAGTGATGCGTTGGGCTGTATATTGCCCAAACTGTCAAAAGTGGCCGTCGCTCGCTTCGCACGATTGCGAAACGCTTCAGTCCTCCATCTTAGCTAGACCGGAAGCCCTCGTTTGGCTCACTTTTTGAGCAATCTGCTGCTTTGCATGGATTCTTTGCTATGGATTTGCTAATTATCTTTTCAGCTGAAGAGATTCTCAGTCTTTCCAGTCCATGAAATGGATCAATTGGATTCTGGAATGTTCTCTAAATTAGTTGTTGTAGATTTTCTGGGCTGCATGGCTGTGGTCTTGGCATTGTAGCACCTGATGTTTCACCAGCAGCTGTGACTGGCATCCTCAAAGGTATAACACAGGAATGTGGGAAGAAAAATGGTAGGCAGGTAATTTCTTCTCATATTGACACAGAGAATACTCTATCTTTCTGTGTTATACCTCTGAGGATGCCAGTCACAGCTGCTGGTGAAACGTCAGGTACTGCAATGCCAAGACCATGGCCATACAGCCCGGAAAATCTACAACAACTAATGAACTCCAGCCGTGAAAGCCTTTGACAACATATTATTCTCTAAATGCTTAACCAGGGCTATTTTTGAGCAGGAACGCACAGGAACGGAGTTCCGGCTGGCTCCCAAGTTGACCATGCCCAGCAGGAACTCATTAGCATAATAGGCCACACCCAACAGCAGAAACTCATTAGGATTGGCTACATTAGAGGTGTGTGGCCTAACATGCAAAGGAGTTCCTGCTACAAAAAAAGCCCTGGTTGACAACAAACAAGGTAAACAGAATAACAAGCAAAAGGTGGGTGTGGCTGGATAACCGCACTTCTGGTAACATGGGGGTGTGGCCTAATGTGGTAATGAGCTGTGCTGTCAGGGGTGTGGACTAATATGCTAATGAGTTCCTGCTGTTGGGTGTGGCCTATTATGCTAATGAGTTCCTGCTGGGCTTTTTCTACAAAAAGAGCCCTGTAAACAATATGCTGCACATATGTGAGTGATATGTAAACTACAGTGCTCTCACTTGCATTTTTGTTTGAGATAGTGGTGGGTTTGTCTGTGTTGGCTTGTTACCAAAGTATGGTAGCTCTGCTTATTGAGACTTCTAGCCCATGAAGTAGCTATGCTCTTAGTAGAGCAACTTAAGAGAGGCTGCTTACCATCTTGGCCAGCAGACTGCCTGCTCCTCCTGCCACCTGTAAGCTACAACTCCACTCCCTGCCTTGAGATGATATAAAGCCCTGGGACGGGGAAGGGAGAGGCTGTTTACTCCTCTGACCTGCAGATTGTTACCTTCTCTATGTTCTTAATTGTTCTCCTGTTCTTAATAGTTGTGTTTCATAGCTGATTTTTTTTGTCTCTGTAGGTGGTTTCTTTCTGTTATTGCATTTTTCTCCCGTTTTGAATTTTGTGGTAAGCCACTTTGAGGAGAAAAGCAGCCTATAAATATGTTACTATAATGTTACTTCATTACTACAATGAAGAATTTTCTGCAGGCTCTGTCTCTTAATGTCTTATTCCCAGGCTGGGGCCAATGCCTGATCACATTTTGTGCATTCCAACAGATGGCAATCCAAGTTCTGCTCACTCCAGCCTCTAGCTGCCATTGCCAAGACTAGTGAAGGGAAAGGAGAAGCAGCCAGGGATGTTCGATGCCTGGGTTCAATTCCAGCTATGAGTCCACCTGTCTTCTGCTTTTTATTTTGTGGCATGGAAAAATGTCGGTTTCTTTAAGAACCTGTATTTCACCAGATGTACCCACACAATCAACAAAATGAGAATATACTTTTCAGAATACAAAGGGCTTTAGGGTTACTAAAATGAGTACCAGTTTGTGCAGTCAGGGAAAGATAACATCTCTTGATTTAGGTGGTGTTACATGTAGCCTGCCCATCCCGTTGGCCTTGAATGGTTTTTGTGGTATTGTAAGAGAGAAGGAGTACACTAAGTATTCATTTTTATTGACATTGTACACAATGGTTTCTATTTTGGTAATAAATAGGTAATTAAGTTTTTTTGTGTTTTCATGGAGCAGAACTCATCTAATACATTTCTGTATTATCTGATGGCAAGACATTGTAGCTAGTTTTATAGGCATTCTGAGCCAGACGTTTGTATTTCTGCAAATACACATAATGTGCCCGCTCCTGCACTAACTTGTGGTGCTTCAGATAGGCCCTGTATATGTTCTACCCAGGCTGAGATGGGGAATATTGAGCCACTTGTTTGTCCATCTGTCCAGAGACCAAACATGCAGGATGCTGTATGTGATATAGGCTAAACACTCACCAAAATCAACTCAGCTGTATGATCAAATGTTTTAAGTTGTATTGACTTCAGCAAGACACAAGTACAACTGAGGCTGTGTATGGACATAAGGCTCTTTTTGTAGCAGGTACTCATTTGCATATTAAGTGACACACCCCTAATGTAGCCAATCCTCCAAGAGCTTACAGTAGGTCCTGTAAGAACAGCTCTGTAAGCTCTTAGAGGATTGGCTACATTAGGGGTGTGTGGCCTAATATGCAAAAGAGTTCCTGCTACAAAAAGAGCCCACTAGCGTCTATAAAGTATTGCACCATAATTTCCTGCCATGCCTACATAATGTTTTATGTCCTGCTGTAATCTCTGATCAAACAAGCTATCAGTGCACTTCAGGCCTCACCTAGGAAAACTGGACTCCTTCCAGAAAAAAATGAAGGAAAACAACATAGCTGTTGGAGATACTGGTTTGTGCCTATATCACCACTTTAGCCAAGTTAAAGGATGAATACGTAAGCACATAAAAAAGAGACATACAGAGTACTTCTCATAATATTGCCCTGCCATTTCAAAATAACTTTGCTTTTTAATTTAGTGTCTATTCTTTCTATCTCTAGAATTAAAATTTTAGGGTTATGTATAAGAAAGGAACAGCCCTTTTTTCTCTACAGAAATACTGTAGACCGTGGAACAGGAGTCTCCTTTTTCATGAAATGTTTGATTATCCAGCTACTAACACAGAACAAAAGTTAATGTAGTAGTAAAGTAGAAATTGTTCCCAAAATGTTATATGTATATAATAATGTATGTATTGTAGCTTAAAAATAAGACATGATACATTGGTGGGGTATAGCTATTTTTCCAGTTTTTCCACAATGTGCAGTAAATGCCATAAAAAGTATGTCTTTCAAATATATAAAAATTATATGCATACAAATACATTCTTCATTGTGCACAATTCCTCTAAAAATACATAATATTCTTATCTTGTAATAAAGATATTAAAATAAATACTCTAGAGACATTTCAGGTAAACTGAAAAATGGAAGCATATAAAAAGATTTCATCCCAAAAGTCTTTTATCCTTTGCTACAGGAACTGCAGTTTCTAAAAAAATATATGTAAAAACGTTCTGGCACCAAATGATCGTTGCTACTCTTAACCTTGTGGAATTCTTCTTGTTGCCTTTTCTCCTACTCCTACTTTGTTCTCTACTTCTGTGGCAGGACAAATGGCCATATCTGGTAGGATTCCATTTGAAATATCAAAATTCTCACTATTATCTTTAGTGGCCTAGAAGTGATGGATGTTAGCCAGCTCTCCACATTATGAAGTACAAGTTTTGAACCTTGATCTCTTGGCAAAGACTGTGCCTTCCCCCAATTGATGGGCATCATTAATTAATCACGCTGCATCAATCATTGTGAAAAATGTTGCTCTTCTTAACTTCAGTTGCTTTCCAGTGAGCAACATAAGCATGTTGCTACCTGTTCATTTTCTAGGGCAATGACTTAAAATCAAAATAATTTAAATTATTATTTAAAACAGCAAAAGAGGGGGCAGTTTAAATCACTGGTTTAAATCAGGTTTCCAACCTCTGCATTCATAGCATTTTCCAAAGAAGCACACATAATACTTGATGGTTATAATCAGTTTCACACATCTGTTCTCGACGAAACAGAGCCTCCAGACCACCCTCGACTCATACCTTTTGCACAGTTGCATTTATATCTACTTAAAAGAAAAATTATGAAATCATAAACTTCTATTTGGCATCAGTGTTCTCATTCTTCCCCCCCCCCCCACACACACACACAAGAACACCAGGTAGGATCACCTAACTGAAGACTTCAGTGTCCAGAATTTTGTAGGGCTGGTAGTTGTGGGCAAAACTGTCGCCGATTTCGCACTAGAGCTGCCTCGATGTTGCGCCGCCGTTTGCCCCGATACTATTGGTCAATTTCACACCCGAAGCTGCAGGGCTGCCTTTTGACTCGCAGCTTCGCCTGATTTCCCCCGCAGTTTCGTGATCCTGTTTTTTGAGGCTCATGAAACTGCGGAGGAAATCGAGCGAAGCCGCAGGTCAAATGCAGCCCCACGGCTTCGGGTGTGAAATTGACCAATAGTATCAGGGCAAACGGCGGCGCAACATCGAGGCAGCTCTAGTGCGAAATCAGCCTGTGTTTTTTCCCTATAATATGTGTTATGTCCACTGATCGCCACCAGGGGCCAGCGAATACCCCAGAGCTTGACTCTGTAAGAACAATGGGGACTAGGCTCCTAGTCTCTCCACTTGGGAACCAATAGGACCGGGGTTGGAGATTTAAACCCACCAACGGGACCTAGGGGTGTGTCCCCAGGTGTGTATATAGTTGGCCAGCCGGCCATTAGTCTTTGTCTTTGTTGTGTACCAGTAAACCATGCTGATCGCTACATTGGTCTCCGTGGTTTCTCCATGCGTTTAACCCACTACACTTCAATACGGAAAGTAAATGTCCATGCTGTTTGCTTGAGATAGGTGAGATATTTATAACTTCCAGAGCAATAAATCCAGTTTACCACCTATTTGTCCCATACCTATAATGCCTGTTTTAAGCTCAATAAACAGGCTTGTGTTCAGCTAGAGGGTCAAAGATTTAACTTTAAGAGATGGATAGTGCCATCCTATGAAAATTTTCTTGGGACTATGCCCCACTGAATAGACTACAGTAAGATTCTGAGTAGACCTGTTCAGGATTGAACTATGAGTGTAGACTATGGAGATAATATTTTCAACCAGATTAATCAAATTTTTAAAAATCAACTGTCTGTCTCCACTTTGATATTGATCCTACTAATGTGCATGTGAGTGAACAGCAGAAAATAATTTCTGCAGAAGTCAGGTCTAACATCTTGGTAACCAGTTTGACCCTGGGATGAAAGCTTCTTACATACAGTAATTTCTTACTCTATGCATCTATTAGAGTAATTCTTAGTCATTTAAATTCTTAATCTGTTCCTGCTCTTGCACTTTGTGGAAGCTTTTCTCAGTGCTGTCCTCTTCCAGTGTTTCCCAAAAATCTAAAACTCTAGTGATGCACGCATTAATTCATCTTCACAACCGAGTCTCTTGACCTTCTTCTTCAGTTTCTTCTTGCAAGGCAGAGATTTTAGGCCTTGACCGGCGTTTGCTTGAGTTTCTGGGATGTACTGGGAACAGTTTGGCTCGATCCCAGTGGCTGATGGCTTGTCGAAATGAATTTTTCTCACTGAGTAGCTTCTGGATTGATTCATACTGTCTGACTTTATTGTCTTCTATCACCTAGTAAAAAGAAATGGATATGTCAGACTTCCAAAGAGAAACTCCACTTGTGAATAACAATATAGTTGTGTAGTATAATTTTAGAAAACTAATACCACTTTAATGAATTAAAATAATGTTATCTTTTACAGCACTTTGTATTTCCCCTTTTAGCTGATGAAATTTAAAGTGAAATGTGTCTACATTAATTTTTAAAAAATATTTATTTATATAATTTTTGAAATACAAAACATGTGAATGCGTTATCAATCAATAAACACTTTACATTGAGTCTGTTCTTAATCATTATTATTTATCCAATTGTATAATCTCGACCATTTTTTCAAGAATTCTTCTCCTTTCCCTTGAATTAACAAACTTAATTTGTCCATTTCTGCTAATTTTAACAGTTTTGAATTTATCTCTTCCCTACTGGGAGTTTTTTCTAATTTCCAGTATTTGGCCATAAAGTATTCTCGTGGACGTTATTATGAGTATCACTAAATAGGTATCAGCATAACTAAGACTTTCCGGTATCATATTCAACAAGTATATTTCTGGATCTAAAACTAAATAAATATTCATAATTTCCCAGATTATTCTTTGTATTTTCTCCCAAAATTTTTGCATTTTTTCACACTGCCACCACATATGATAAAACGAACCTATATTAATCTTGCACTTCCAACATTTGTTAGATGTATTCGCATAACACTTTGCTATTTTTTCCGGCGACCAATACCATCTGTGAAACATTTTAATGATATTTTCTTTGTATGGAATGGCTCTCATTAGTTTAATTGCTTTCCATATTTTAGACCATTTTTCCAATTCAATAGTATGTCCCAAGTCTCTCAGTCATAAAATAATTATGGGTTTAACAATTTCATCTTCCATATACACTTCTATTAATAGATTATACAACTTCTGAATCATTTTATCATTAGATGAGAGCCAAATCTTGTCCAATACATTTTTATCATCTTCAAAACCCCGAATCACATCTTTGGTATATCTGGATTCTAATTGTGCACTTTCCCACCAAGATAGTTGTATATTATGTTGTAAACAAAGATTATTCTCTGATTTAAGTTTGTTGTTCTCGTCTAATAATGTGTCATATGTTGTTTTTATGTTTTGTCATAAGTGTTGGCTTAACAAAGGCCTCCAAAGGCGAGACCCATCTAGGTATTTTTCTGTAATGTCTCTGTTTAATTACATTCCATACTTTTATTAGTGATCCTCTTACTATATGATTCTGAAAGTTTGAGTGGATCTTATCCCTTTCGTACCAAACATATGCGTGCCATCCCATATATAGATCATGTCCTTCCAATTTTAAACATCTTAAATCTTCCAAATTAATCCAATCTTTAATCCAACACAGTGCGGCAGCTTGATAATAAAGCTTCCAATTCGGTACACCAAAACCCCCTCTTTCTTTTTTCTCCTGTAAAAGTTTTAGTTTACTCCTGGCTCTTTTCGGATACCAAATAAATTGCCTGGTTACTTTGTCCAAGTTTACATTAAATTGTGTTTGAGACCAAACTTGCTTGGCTCCAGAGATACCCCTGACATCTTCAGGCTATTTCTATGGCTCTGGTACAATCTGATTTGTCTGCTTGCTTGCTTTTTTAAAAATCCAAAAATCTCAAATTGCACAAAATCCAGCTCTTCACAATACTTTTACAGCATTACTGTTCAATCTGTTTAATAGCTCTTCCATCTCTCTTCCATCTTAAAATAATGGTAATTCAAAAGTGAGATTCATGTGGTTTGAACACGTTGCTTACTTTGACCCATTGGTTCAGATCTTAGACACAAGAGATTGGATCTAGCTACATTTTCCCTTCAATCTCACCTAATTCCCCAGCTCCCACTGCACATGCTTTTCATCCACACAATTTTCTTGATTCCTCACATAGCTATCTTGTTACTTAAAAGGGCACTTAAAACTGGCTGGATCCAACCCATGTTTTTTTGGGTCTGCATGCACGCTTCTATTTAAAAAGCCAAAGGAAATGCTCATGAAATCTAGAATATATGAAACCAGTGATTTCACAGATGTGACGCTATTTTACCTATGCAGTTGGTCTGCTTCATGGAAAATTCCATCACAGTTAGCAATATGGCTATCAAACATGTTCATGAAACAGTTAACACTGTCACTGACTAACTGCACTATGTTCTTTGCATCAGAATTGCCCAGAACAAAAGAAACAGAAAACTGTGTTCTGGACAATTAGTACCTGGATAAGGAACTTGGTGTTTCCTTCTAAATGTCTCCCTTTTATTACAAATATATATATATATATGTAGAAGGATATCATTTTGAAACCCATTTGTATTCAAGTGATGGGCTGTTTCACCTTGTGGATCCAGAACTGCAGTTCCTAGCAGGCACTGGCGTAGAATGACTTTTTTAAAAAATCCCCCAAATAGGAGGATATACATTGCTTTTGTTCACTGCCTGCTGTCTCAGACTTGTATTGGAACAAAACTTTCTATGGTCAATAGAATGTATAAAGGTTGGGGGTATGATCCTGTTTCTTTCTATGCACATTCAATGTATGACAGATGAACAGAGATACTGAGTCCAGTCTTTGAAAGGCACTCACCAAAAATCTCTGGCATTCTAGTAGTGCTTCTAGTCTGTGTTCTGAAAGTATTACGGTACAGTTTGCAAAAGCTTGCTTGAGAGTTTTTTTAATCACTTGAAATGTCCTGAAAGATAAACAGATAAACAGTGTGATAGACTCTCTTTACGATGTTTACCAGGGTATTGTAGCTTTGTAATATGGCAGTTACAATTCAGATGAAATATCTTTCCTATCATTGCTTTAAAATGCAATGATAGGAAAACACTGTGCTTGCTGTATTTCTGCTTGTCATCTAGCTGTTTTAAAAAACAACAGTTCTGCCATTTTTTGTTTACCTAACCAGGAGGTACTCTGCTAAAATGAACAATCCACCATTAAGCCTTCTTGTCTATCGCCAGCTTTCAGAACTCATATGATACCACATTAAACCTAAACAATAGGTTGTAGTTTAAACTATAAGAAAGTATAAAGTTAGCTTCATTTATGGTCTCAGGGCAATGGAACCCCCAGGGCTTAACAGAGATATTGGCTTCATATTTCACTACACATGCTAAGTGACTCAGTTATCATTTATACCCAGAAATTAAACTTTGTTGGTCTTAAAGGTTCCACTAGGACCAAACTTAGTTGTCACATCTGTTAACTCCTTAATAAATGCATTAATAAATGCATTAATAAAGTTCTCACATCTGTTAACTCCATAAATATCTGTATGCCAATTTGTTGCAGTTTGGTGTAGTGTTTAAGAGCATGGACTCTACTCTGGGAGAACCGGGTTTGATTCCCCACTTCTCCACATGCAGCTGCTGGTGTGACTTTGGGTCAGTCATAAATTCTTTCAGAGTTGTTCTCTCAAGGGCAGTTCTTGAGAGAGCTCTCTCAGCCCACCTACCTCACAGGGTGTCTGTTGTGGAGAAGGGAAGGGAAAGGGATTGTAAACCGCTCTGAGACTCCTTTGGGTAGTGAAGGGAATAAATCCAATCTCCTCCTCCTCCTCGTCTTGCCAAATGTGTTATTGCAATCCTAGCTGTATTTATTGCTCAGTTACTTATGCACAGGGGTCATTTCATAGAAAAAAAGGTGCAGGAGCTCATTACCATAACTCATTAGCATAACTTATTTGCATACTCCACACCCCTGACATCACCGGAACGGTGTTAGAAGGCAACACCCACTGCTCAGGCTCCACCCCCAAAATCTCCAGCCTCACGGGGCCCGGAGGGGGGATGGGGATGTCCCTGGCGCTGGAGGGCAGCATGCTGTCAGGCCGTCCAAGCCAGCGAGGGAGGGGGCTTCTTCCCTCAGCCTCCCCCTCTGCCATGGTGCAACAGCCCCCCACACTCGGTCTGGTTCCTCTCCTTGCTCTGTCCCTCTAGAGGGTCCCCAGTGCAGCACCCACAGCCATCCATGGGGCTTCTGGTGCTGCCTTGCAAAGAAAAGGGGGCAGGTTGCAATGGAGAGTTGGGGGGGTCCTTTGCAGCAAGGAGCGTGGCTTCTTGCAAGAGACAGCCGGCATCCAGGAAAAGAGCAAGCTGGCCGGGGGCTTGGCTGGCTGGCAGAGACCAGATCTGCTGGCCCTTCGGCTCCACGGTCCCTTCCACGCCCCTCCCCTCTTCCCTTCCTTCACTGAAATTCTGGCTCACTCCGAGGCAGGATCACCAGGGTGCAGCAACACCAGCCGCCACCAGAGCCCGTCGGGCAGCAATTGCCTGGCCGTGCTACTTTGTTCAGTGTCTCCCGCAACGTCGCCATGCTTTCCGCCTCCTCTGGATATTCCTCCTCCTCCTCCTCTTCCTTCGATGCACCAGCTCTCGTAGCGCTTCTGCCCCCCCCCCCCACCAGCATGGCGAGGAGGTGGTGGTGGGCGCGGGAGGCATGACTGCAGGGCGAGCAGGCAGAAAAGACACTGGCAGCCATGGGAGCTGGTCCCATTGCAAGACGGGAGGCCTCACTGGGTGCAGGGCCTGAAAAAGGCAGCAGGGGGCAGCTCTGCTGGCCGTTTTTCAGGCCCAGTGCTCCGGCGCAGGGACTGAAAAAGGTGACGGGGTGGGGGGCGGCTCTGCAGGCTGTTTTTCGAGCCCAGCACTCTGGCGCAGGGGCCCGAAAAGGTGGCAAGGGCAGGGGGCAGCTCTGCAGGCCGTTTTTCAAGCCCATGCTCCGGCGCAGGGGCCTGAAAAGGGTGGGGGGCGGCAAGGGCTGGGTGGTGGTGGGGGCAACTGCAGGTGACGGGAGGGCTCTGCAGGGAACTTACCTGCCTGCTATTTGCTCTTTGCAGACCGACTGATGACTGGTGGGAGCAGGGGGCGGGGCTCATGTACCCTCCCCCTGGGCTCCTTACTGGCAGAGCGGCACTCCGGCACACTCTGGCATGAACTGAGGCCTGCTTATGCATCTTGACTCTAATTAGCTCTTCCTGGCAACTAACCCCTGCATGCCTTTGCATATTAGGCCACACACCCCTAATGTAGCCAATCCTCCAAGAGCTTACAGAGCTCTTCTTACAGGAGCTACTGTAAGCTCTTGGAGGATTGGCTACATTAGGGGCATGTCGCTTAATATGCAAATGAGTACCTGCTACAAAAAGAGCCTGGGCTGTATGTAATATTTGAGGATATGTTTCAGTGTATTTGAAGAAGTGTGCACCTACACATGCAGAGTCTCTCTGTTCTTGCATGTACCTAGGGTTGACCTTGGTTGGTCTTGGGGGGTGCTGCTGAACTCAAGCTTTGTTCTTACATCCCTTTGTTAGTTCTTGCATTTGTGTGCTAGTTTGCTGCCATTCATTAATCCTACGGGCTGCCTTGATACAATCTCAGCTTTACTTATGCAACTTGGCTCTGACTGCCCCCTCCACCTTTCTGTATATAGGGCTTGAGGAAATTCTGTTTCAGTCGGTATCTGAGAATTTTAATAATAACTATACTTATTTATCTAACTATTGTTTACCCACTGTATTATATCTGGATCGAGAGAATGCTGTTAACAGGGCCGGCTCGAGGGTTTTTTGCGCCCTAGGCGAGGCTACCTTGTGGCGCCCCCCCCCCCCCAGGTGAGGCTGCCTTGTGCCGCCGCCCCCCTCACCACAGATATATATTTCTCCAAGCTACCCCCGTGCGCCCCCTGCCCCAGCATGACAGCCCCACCGCAGCAGCAGCTGGAGGCAAGATCTCCTATTTTGGCTTCTTGAATCCTGGGATATTGGATGACAACTCTTGTCTTTAATGGGGTTTTCTCTGCTTCCTTAAAGGCTTTCCCTCACATTCTTCTGGTATCATCCTTGACAATAAAAAGTACAAAAAATGCAGAGTTTTGTTTTTTAAAGAACACCCCAATATTGAGGCCAGAAAAAAATGTTCTCCCCACCCCTGCCCAAACTGAAAGGTCTTGAAGGTTCCTGACTTTATGAAGCTCTTTACTATATATCCGGATGCTTTCAATATTGAGAAAGGGACCAGACTGAGAGGATAGAATCTAACATCCCATCCTTTATCTTTGTTGGAAGTTAGCGAAGAGAGAACAGCACATCTCTGCCCAAGAAAAAGAATGTTTGACAATAGCATGGGCCTTGGGGAAACGAAAACTGTACATCTGGTGTAATGTATCCAGTTCCGAAAGTGTGGCCAGCTTCGGCTCCACGCGCTCAAGTGCAAAGGCTGAGCTTCGCTCAGGGGAACAATGGACTGTGCAGATCCTAGCCCGTGCCTATCTGAGGGCTAGGCTCCTAGCCGAGAGCCTATGGAACTCTCGGCCAATGTAAATAACCTATTGGGAAGTGGGGGGGTGTGCTGGGTGGTGGTTTCACGGGGGATATAAGCCGGCCTGCGAGCCAGCTAAGGTAATCTTGTTCTGCTCTAATAAAGTATGTTAAGCTGAAATCACTCGTCCGTCTGCATACTTTTCACTGGCGACGAAGGTGGGATTCATCTCCCCTTGAACAGAGACCACGTTCCGGGCACTGCATCAAGTCACCGCGCCAAGATTGCCACACGCCGCTTGGCATCATGCACATCTTCGGTGGCTTCGCTCATCGCACCGCTCCCAGCTCCGAGCATCGCACCGCTGACCCCGGGAGCAGCACCACACAGCTCCTTCTCTATGCTCGCTATTTCCCGCTGTTCCCGCTGTTTGCCTCCTCATGGAACCATAAGATGGCTGCCACACTGGAGAGTCTCCCCGCCTTCGATATCTCCCAACCCTCACAGTGGGAAACTTGGCTGCAGACCCTTGAGAGCCGCTTCACAATCCACGACATGACAGAACCAGATATGAAGAAGGCATACCTTCTCCGCCACTGCGGGATGGAGGCCCATCTCCTGCTTAAGGACTTAATAGCGCCCTGGCTGACCAAAGACAAGTCTTACAACTCTTTGGTCAAGGCACTGACCAACCGCCTGGCTCCCAAACCCACTAAGTTTGTGGAGCGCATGGACTTTTTTGCAAAAGTCCAGGGCCCGATGAGACCGCCTCTGATTTCCTGGTGGCTTTGCATTGGGCCACCACTAGGTGTTCCTTTTTCGACCTGGCTGAAGCTCTCCTAAACCAGTTCCTCTCCTAAACCAGTTCCCGGAGGAGACTGGTCAGCCAGGACGACCTGGATCTCGATAAGGCAATTCGGGAGGCTACCGCTTATGAGAAGTCCCACCAAGACCGCCGTGCCAAGGCGGTCCACCGAACACAAGCTGCTGTTGGCTCCGACACCTCGGATGAGGAAGAAGTGCTACAGGTCCGCCATCGGTCATCTCAGCACCCGCATCAGTCGTCCTCCAACTCAGACAAGGCGTCTTCAGCTACTTTGGCTCCGTGTGCTAGCTGCGGGGAGGACCACGAGCGCCGGTCGTGCCGCTTCCAGAACGCCGTCTGCAGAACGTGCAACAAATCGGTACACATATCCAGGGTCTGCCACTCCAAGGGACAGTGCCTGAAATCCTCTGCACACCAGACCTTGACGGACCAGCACATCGACCTCCACACTCTCTCGTCCCACCACCAGCAGCACCTGGTATGTAACTTGCCCCCCGATAGCACCAACAAAGTGCATATTACTGTTCTCATAGAAGGGTTCCCCTACAGCATGGAGATCAATACGGGGTCATTGTTCTCCATTATCTCCGCGGATACGCTCCA